AATACCTTCAATTTGATTCTGAGAACCTGGTAGTGTTCCATATATGATGCATGAAATAATGGGGCTGTTTGAAGTGAGCATTCTCATTGGAAGCATGAAAACTTTCGTTCGGAGTGGTTCAGAGTGGAGTCGGGCCTCACGGGGGATCACCCTATGGGTGACATTAGTGCAGCTGCTGCTTCCCACTCAGGAACTAATGATCTGAGCACTCAATCAGTAACAGTGCCAGGTGGCTCAGTGGGTGGCGAGCAGATGGAGACCTTGCTGCTTGAGATATATTCTTTTTCCAGAAACAGGTGGCAGGCCTGCCCCCTGGGGATCCCAGACGGGGCAAGGGAGACAGGGTCTACAGGACAAGACACAGCTTAACCACATCCAAGCCTCATATCTGCAGAGGTTTGGGTCAGAGACTGCAGAGCTTTTCTGCAACTTTGGCCAGACCCTAGGGCACTGGGTCTAGAGCGTGTTTGTCATGATCTCGTGGTCCATGAGTTCAAGCCCTGCATCGGGCTCTGTGCTGACAGCTCAGAGCCTGGAGCCTCCTATTCTGTGTCTCCCTTTCTCTCTGCCCCCTCCTTGCTCATGCTCTGTCTCTCTCTGTCTCTCAAAAATAAATAAATGTTAAAAAACCTTTTTTTTTTTTAAAGGTAACCAAATCAATTCCATCTTCAAAACAAATCCAAGAATCTGCTTATTTTTCACCATTTCCATCAAGTATATCCTGGTCCAAGCCTCCTTTGGTAGGTTAAATAATGGCCCCCAAAGATAACCAGGTCCTAATCTCCGGAAGCTGTGAATTTTATCTTATAAAGCAACATATATGCAAATGTGATTAAGCTAAGGATCTTGAAATTATCGTACATAACCTAGGTGAGCTGTCTAATGGCAATAACAAGTGTCCTTACAAGAGGGAGGCAGAGGGAAATTTAACACAGAAGAGAGATGATGCAAAGAGAGAGCAGAAGATTTGAAGATTTTCCACTGTTGGTCTTGAGGATGGAAAGAAGGGGTCATGAGCCAAGGAAGACAACCAATGCAGCTCAAGAAGCCGGAGAAGGCAAGGACAGATTCTCCCCTGGAGCTTCTGGAGGGAATGTGACCTTACCAACAACTTGGGTTTGGCTCAGTGAAACCTCTTCGAACCTCTGGCTTCCAGAAGGGTAAGAACATCAACGTGTGTGGTTTTAAGCCACCAACTTGCAGCAACAGAAGACTAATTCATCCCCATAGCCTCTCACCTGGATTGCTCAGGTCTCCTTGTTTTTCTCTTGCCTTTTTCAGTCTATTCCCAACAGCCAGACTAAAAGTATTAAAATAGATCATGCTGCTCCTTGACTCAAAACTCTTCACTTAAATATCACCTTCTCAATGAGACCACACCATTTCAAGACCATGCTATGTACACAGACCCACATGCAACCCACACCTTCACAGTCCCTACACCTTCCTAGGTTTCACACCCCTCCTTAGCCTTTGTGTCCATCTAACATCATACACACACACACACACACACACACACACACACACACACACACAGAGTTGTTGTTGTTTAACCTTATTTTTGTCCCTTTCTCTCCTATAAAGGTAGCCTCCATGAGGGCAGGGAATCTTGTGTGTTTTAGTCATCACTGTCCCAAGGGAAAAGAACCTGGCACCTCAAACATGCTTAATAAATGCTGTTGAATAAGTAGATTCCTGCAGAGTCTTGTCTGGCAGCCATCTCTGAGGCATTAACTGATAAGGTCTCCCTGTCTCGGGATCCGGCAAGGAGCCCATGCTACTTAATGGGAGTTCTGGAGCCCCAAAGAAGTTATGTGAAAGATAGACTCTCACATCCTATGATAAGTAAGGGTGAGCTTACTTTTGCAGACTCCTAGACTTGATCTGATTGGTCAGTAGAATCACCTGGGGGAGCTTTAAAACTCACAACAAAAGCAGATGCCCCAGCTCTTACCCCAGGGATTTTGATATAACATGTCTAGGATGGGCTGTAGCCCCTCTCTTCACAAAGCTC